TAAAACTTGAACATGTCCTATTTGAATGTAAATATGATGCTCCCTATTTGATGAAGTTGCTTTATATAAAGACCAACACTTAGATTTTGTGATAGAGTCTATGGACCAATCCAAAATTTAGTAGTTAAGTCTCGCAATCATTCTTTACAGTGACGTCACTCTTGCTTTGGCCGATCACTTCTTTATTTGTGATCTTGGTATCTTAGCGGTGGTGGTCACCTTCAATTGTCTTTCAGTGATGTCATTGCTGAATATGTAACGTCTTTTCGATCGGTTAAGGTGTTCCTATAACAATAGTGTTCACCTCCATCTGTGACATATTTGTTAAGTAGGTTAACACTTTTTTGATCGGTTAAGGTGTTCCTATTCCAGCAGTAGTCACGCCCCTAAACTAGCAATGTTCACGTCCATCTGCCTTGCAGCGACATCTTTGCTGAGTAGGTTAACACCTTTTCGATCAGTTAAGGCGTTCCTATACCAGCAGTAGTCGTGCCCCTATACTAGCAATGCTCACATCTATCTGCCTTACAATGACATCGTTGCTGAGTAGGTTAACACCTTTTCGATCGGTTAAGGTGTTCCTATACCAGCAGTAGTCATTGTTATCTGGAGAGACTAAGGTTGGAGAGAATCCAATGTTCTGTATTCTCATTATTAAGGTTTATATATATAGACAAATATACAAGGTTGACCTAATCCAATAAGGAGAAGGTAGAGGACAAATTAATATTAATACAAGAATATAAAACATACTAATATCTATACTCTAACACTCCCCCTCAAGTTGGTGCATATATGCTAATCATGCCCAACTTGTTAGACAAATAATCTATTCAACTTGTGTTCTGTGATTTTTGATATCATTGGGATCACCTCAAAAGTTACGATTGATTTCTTCTCAGCCATAATAAACAAACGAATTTATTTGAACAAAACGACAAAACCAGACAAAACCACCCGAACCAAACAAAACAGATGAATAAAACGGTTGGAACAAAACCGGATTAGCTATTTTCTGAAACCAGAAACCCCAAGTGCTACCCCACGAACAACCAGAGGGGCAAAGGCGACAGGTGGCGACTGGCGGTGACGAAAGCACACGGGGACGGCGATTGGCGGCGAGACGAAACCTACGAATATAAAACATACTAATATCTATACTCTAACATTATCTATCTTGCAGTAACATATTTG